AAATTGAGATGATAAGGCGATGTAAAAAAATCTAATAAAACAAAGTAAAATAATTGAAATTAGTATGATGTTGTCACGATCCAAAACGAACGTGATGACACTCGTCTTATTCCACCAAGACAAGTCAGCCTAAAACTTGATCATTGCAATAAAATGCGAAAATTTCATAATTTACTCAAAAATACCCTCAAAATCTGGTTGTCACGTGTAAACGCCTCTAAAGTATTACAATTGATTCAAAGAAAAAAAGAAGTCTCAAATGACATTGTTTCTTGAATTGAACAAGATCGTAAATAGGAGTAAGAAGTCTGTTGAGATGACATATTGATATTTATACATGTCAGCAACTAGTTAGTTAGGATTTTCAATTAGTTAGTTACAGATTAGATTTTCAATTAGTTAGTTACAGATTAGTTAGTGTTGTATATTGTTAATCTTTTAGAATTAGTTTTTATCAATTGTATATATAGCTACTTGTTCATTGTAATCAAAAACACATTTTCAGCATTTTATCAAATCAGATCAGAAGAGTTTTTCTTCTCTTAGTTCTTCCTTAAGCTCCATCAATGGAGATTCACAATTTATAGATGTACTCTATTTTTCTATTTTGTAATCTCAACATGGTATCAGAGCAGGTTTAGATCACTGTTCTTCTCGTCATCAAGTTCCAGTTCATTGCTTCCCCTTTCTTATCGATCTCTTCAGTTTTCTGTTATCATTTCTGAGAATCGAATTCATCATTTTATCGATCTTTTCAGTGGATCGAATTCATCATGGTCGAAATTATAGGTCAAAGTTCCACCACACCAGGAACAGGAGGGTACATAATCGATGTTAATAATCCTCTCTACATACATACATCTGATAATCCAAGTTTGATCTTAGTTCCAGTCATTTTTTAAGGAGTTGGTTATCAATCATGGCGAAGAGGTGTAATGAGGTCATTATCTGTTAAAAACAAATTAGGATTCATTACTGGAGAACTTAAACGTCCTTCTTCAACATCGCCTCAATATCGCCAATGGGAGAGATGTGACAACATGGTCATATCTTGGATTCTTAATTCTCTTAGCAAAGATATTGGAGACAGTGTAGAGTACGTTTCTGATGCAGTAGAATTGTGGAAAGAGTTAGAAGATCGATATGATCAAACGAATGGTGCTAAATTATTTCAAATCCAAAAAGACATTAATGATTTGAGTCAGGGTGTTCTTGATGTTACTGTGTATTACACTGGGATGAAAAATCTCTGGGAAGAATTGAGTAATTTGAGTATCAAGAACCAGTGCAGTTGTACTTGTAGCCGTGGGGGGGAAAGAGACTATGCATAAGGCTGAACAAAATCGAAGGTTAATTCAATTTCTAATGGGTCTTAATGAAGTTTATACTGTTATTAGAGGCAGTATTCTGATGATGAATCCATTACCATCCATGGCCCAAGCTTTTGCACTACTTGTACAAGAAGAAAAACAAAGGGAGTTTAAGCCACACAGTCAGATATTTGCTGAAGGAAGTTCATTGAATTCTTCTATACGTGTTGGTTCATCAAATCCATCAGGTGGAAGGGTAAATTCTACCAATTCTAGTTCATCAAATTCGACAGGAGGAAGAGTATTCAGAACAAATTATTCATCGAGCAACTATCCTACAAATAATAGGCCTAGACCTTTTTGTGAACATTGCAGGAGACCAAGGCATATCATTGACAAGTGTTACAAATTACATGGTTGTCCCAATCAAAGTAATACTTCTAATGGACAGGGTTTCAATTAGCAAAGATACAACAATGCTCAGAATCAAAGGGTACCAGCCAATTACAATGCAAGTAATAGGTATGCAAAAGGTAAAAGAGTGACAGCTAATGTTTTTGCAGATCCAAACATGGGAGAAACTGATACTTTTCATGCAACTTGCAATGCTAATCTTACTAATGAACAATGTGGTCAGCTTATTAATCTGTTGCAGCACCTTCAATGGGGAAAATCTGGAGATGTTGATTCTAAAGAGCAGGTAACTTGTGGAGCTGCAAACTTTGCAGGTATTATAGCATGCAACTCATCTATTGATTTTGATAAACTGTCATGTGGCTGTCTCAAATCAAAAACTGGTTTATGGATACTAGATTCAGGAGCTACACATCACATGACCTTTAACATCAACCACCTTTCACATATTACTAACCTGCCATATCCTCTCTTAGTTAAATTACCAAATGGATACAAAGTTAAGGTGACCAAAGTTGGAGATGTTAGAATTAATGACATGATCACATTGTTTAGAGTTCTTTTCATTCCCTCTTTTAAATACAATTTGATTTCTATCAGTTCTTTCTCTCTACATCTCAATTGCACTGCATCATTCTCTAACTCATCTTGTATCTTGCAGGGCCCTTCAATGAAGAGGCTTCTGGATATTGGTAGAGAACAAGATGGATTGTATTTCCTTTGCTCAGATTGCTTATAAAAGAAAAAAGACAGTCCATTCATTTCACAGGTCTCATCTTCAATACCATGTTTTTCTCACAACAATAAGATAGGTTCTCAATGTCAATGTTTCTCTCACTCTTGTAGTTCCATTTCTCACTCTTGCAATCCTTTATTCAATTCTCAGTATGATAAATCTTCTGTAATGAACACTATTCCTAGTAATACAAATGATGCCCTTTCTGATTCTATGCCTCTTTTACATCATGAATCTTGTAATGATTTGTTGTGGCACTATAGACTTGGGCATGTGTCTTTTGTAAAGATGAAAGGGATTACATCCATTCCTGTAGTTTTTTCATCCTAACAGCCTTTTACTTGCAATATATGTCCTATGGCCAGACAAACCAGACTTTCTTTTCCACCTAAAACTCATACTACATCAAAGATATTTGAACTTCTTCATGTTGACTTATGGGTTCCTTACCATATACCTACTCATGACAATTTTAAATATTTCATTACCTTAGTTGACGACTTTAGTAGAACTACATGGACACATTTATTGAGATGCAAGGGTAATGCTTTACATATCATAAAATCATTTGTCAACATGGTAGAAAATCAGTTTAAAACCAATGTTCAATTCATAAGATCAGATAATGGTCTTGAGTTTGTAAATCAAGAATCTATTCTTTACTTTCAATCCAGAGGAAAATTACACCAAAAATATTGTCCTTATACACCTCAACAAAATGGTGTGGTGGAAAGGAAACATAAGTATCTACTAGAAACAGCTAGAGCTCTTCTTTTTCATTCCAAATTACCTACCAAGTATTGGGGGGAATGTATTCTTACAGCCACATATATAAAAAATAGACTTCCTTCTGCTCTCCTTTACAACAAATGTCCTTTTACTATATTGTATAATCAAGAACCTCAATATTCTCACATGAGAAGTTTTGGTTGTCTTTGTTTTCCTACTACACCCAAACATCACAGAACAAAGTTTGAACCAAGAGCTACACCCCATGTGTTCTTAGGATACCCTTTTGGTATTAAAGGCTATAAGGTGTTTAGTTTGAGCAGCAAGAAAATACATATTTCTAGAGATGTGTTTCATGAATCAGTATTTCCTTTTTCCAATATCTCTAATTTTTCTGTTAAAAATCCTTCTTCAAGTTCTACATTTGATAATGTTTTCCTTGATAATGATGATGTTGGTCCTACTTCTTCAGAATCTGAACAATGTGATCCCACTTTAACTTCGTCTCCTACACCAAAGCTTACATCCTCAGAAAATTGTCCTCCCATCAGAAAATCTACTAGATCTCATAAACCTCCAGTTTATCTCAAAGACTACATGACCTCTTTACATGCCTCATTTTCTCACCACCATCACATAGCTTCTACATCCTTGTATCCTGATAGTCAGTCACTAATATTGAGTGTGTCACATGATTGTGAACCATCATCATTTAATGAGGCTGCAATGAATCCTGCTTGGCAAGATGAAATGACACAAGAATTGACTACCCTGCATGATAATGATACTTGAGAACTTATGCCCCTTCCTGCTGGTAAAAAGACCATTGGATGTAGATGGGTTTATAAGGTAAAGCATAAAGCTGATGGGAGTATAGAGATGTACAAGGCAAGACATCCGTGAAAGGTTACACTCAGCACTATGGGATAGATTATACATAAACTTTTTCTCCAGTCATCAAAATGACAACTGTGAGAGCTTTGATAGCCACTGCTGTAAAGAAGCACTGGAATATATATCAGTTGGATGTTAATAATGTTTTCCTTCATGGAGAGTTGCATGAAGAAGTATACATGGACATTCCACAGGGATTGGATGTTACCACTAAAGGCATGGTCTGTAAACTTAACAAGTCACTACATGGTTTAAACAGGCAAGCAGACAATGGTATGCTAAGTTGTCTGATGCTTTGAAATCCAGAGGCTACAGTAATTCCTTGAATGATATTCTTTGTTCTATAGAAAACAAGGTATTTCCACTGTGTTTATAGCTGTTTATGTTGATGATATTCTACATACTGGAAATGATGTTGAAGATATTGATCAATTAAAGGTATCTTCATAACTAATTCAAAGTCAAAGATCTGGGAAAGCTACACTATTTTTTGGGTTTAGAGATACTATATACAGAAATTGGAATGCTTATATCACAGAGGAAGTTTGTACTTGATCTTCTCAAAGAGTATCACTGCACAGAATACTCTAGTCTTGCTTCTCCTCTTGACTCTTCAATCAAGCTTAAAGCCAATGAAGGGAAACCTCTGGAAGATCCTAGTTAATACAAAAAGTTAATTGGAAAATTAAATTTTCTCACCAACACCAGATTAGACATTGCATATGGAGTACAACACCTGAGTCAGTTTATGCAGGATCCTAGAGAACCTCATTTGCAGGCTGCATATCATTTGCTTAGATACCTTAAAAAGGATCCAACCTTAGGCTTACTCATGTCCTCTACTAATGATTACCAGGTCCAAGCCTTTTGTGATTTAGACTGGGCATCCTGTCCCGATTCAAGAAAATTTGTTATTGGCTACATTGTGTTATTGGGATCAAGTCCTATAAGCTGGAAGTCGAAGAAACAAGAAACTATTTCTCTTTCTTCAGCTGAAGCTGAGTATAGATCTATTAGAAAGGTAGTCGGAGAATTGGTATGGTTAAGTCGATTATTTGAAGAACTAACTGTACCATGTGCTAGTCCTTTTCATGTTTAGTGTGATAGCCAGTCAGCCTTACAAATTGCCAAGAATCCTGTATTCCACGAAAGAACGAAACATATGGAAGTTGACTGCCATTTCGTATGAGCTAAGCTTCAAGAAGGGTTAATTTCATTACATCATATTGGAACTGGGGAACAACTTGCTGATATTCTTACCAAAGCACTCACCGGAGTGAAACATGCTGCAATCTTAAGCAAGTTGGATCTTCTCGTCGCACCTCCAACTTGAGGGGGGGGGGGTATTGATATTTATACACGTCAGCAACTAGTTAGTTAGGATTTTCAATTAGTTAGTTACAGATTAGATTTTCAATTAGTTAGTTACAAATTAGTTAGTGTTGTATATTGTTAATCTGTTAGAATTAGTTTTTATCAATTGTATATATAGCTCCTTGTTCATTGTAATCAAACACACATTTTCAGCATTTTATCAAATCATATCAGAAGAGTTTTTCTTTTCTTAGTTCTTCCTTAAGCTCCATCAATGGAGATTCACAATTTATAGATGTACTCTGTTCTTCTGTTTTGTAATCTCAACATGACAAGTAGCTACCTCACAATTCTCCACAAGAAGCCTCAGACGAGGAGAAGAGAAATATCATAAAGGTCCGTACTAGTAACCTACAAATAAAAATTGTAGTAGCAAGGGCTGAGTACCAAACCACTCGGTACCCAGCAAATATACTTCTTAACACAAGCCCAAACCACACGGTACCCAGCAAATATACTTTTTAACACAAGCTAAGGGGATAACATACGGGTACTCCTTACATACCAACCGAACCTTCACAACTACAACCTACATAAAAACCAGCACAATCTAACAGTTTATAGTTTGCATATCACCCAGCTCATCAAAATAGTTTTAACAAATTACACATCTTCAACTACAAACTCAATATTTGACAATCACAACTTTCACAAAAAGGCACTCCCAGTATCAGCAACACACAAGATCAAGTTCATCAAATAGTGGTAATCAAATATCAAGTAATTTCCAACCATCGATAAAACACATAATTACATAATATAACGGGTCGGACCATCTCAGTGAAACCCCTACACTATAATTCAGTTCCAATAATTTAGAAAATATACTTTGGTTGATTCAACGTGAGTTCAACTTGCATTGTTATATTTTTTTTATCAAATACGTATCATATTTTTCTTTTTAGTCAATCTTAATATAGTTATATGTACATCCTTATTATTAATTAGAAATAATTTCAACTTTAAATTATTTCTTATTTTAATCTTAATAAAATCATTTGTCACTTACTTAAATATCTATGACATATTTTAAAATTTTTAAAATAATCTACGACATTTTAAAATTTAAAATTTTAAAATAATTAATTTTTGTTTTTTATACTTCATGTTGGAAAGGGATGAGCATGTTCATCGATGCTCCATCTATTTCACAAGATGTTAGGCTTATGTCCCTCTTTTTTACTACCATACATGTGTATGACTCTAATTAAACACACATTATTCATTTTCTTTAGCCCCACTTCAAATGTTCTTTATTAAAAAAAAACGTTTTTCTTTCATTCTCTTTGAAACTCAATGATTTGGATTGCTTTGTGCAAAAAGTTGTTTGATTATACAAACAGTCCTTCCATATTTATTTTATTATTCTCTCTATAGTTTGATTATACGCATATTATCTCACTAATTAATAATTTTATATAATATTTCAATTCAGATACACTTAGATACATATATTTTAACGATTAAATACATTTCGAGACACATAATCATAGTGAGAGAGGTAATTGAAATAAGAAAGAAGCGAGCGAGCGAGAGAATTTGTGTGCGAATCACTCTAGATACATATATCTAGATCCAATAATATACATTATAAACACATTAAGAACTACTGGTAAAAAGGGAGAGAGAGGAGGGAGCGAGGAGAGAGGCAAGCGAGAGAGTCAGATACTGTATATCTAAAATAATAATGAATTCACTTGGGTACATGCATCTAGACACACCTAGATTAAGGCTCGCTTCTACTAATTTTGAAAAATTAATTTGGTTTAGTTCAACTAGTGTTTAGCTGATATTATCATATTTTTTAATCTCATTTTATATGTCATATTTTTCTTTTTACCAATCTTTAAACGGTTATATATATTTATTTAGAAAAAAAGGTTTTGATTTTAAATTACTTCTCATTTTAATCCTTAATAAAATAATTTATAACTCGTATTAATATCTATAACTTATTTTAAATTATTTCTTTTTTTCTTAAATTTTGTCTTCAAAAATAAAAAAAAAATGGATGAGGGGATACATATGTATGGCTCTAAACAAACACACTCCAAATGTCTTTTTAAGAAAACTTTGGTCTCTCTTTTTTTACACTAAAAACGAAAATCAATGATTTGAAAAGTTTGTTGTTTAGTTAACCCTTCAACATCAATCCTTTGGAAATAATGTGGATTGGTTATCAAACCAAGAGATAAGAAAGTTTAGGTGATTTTCATAAATATATTTAACTAACATAAAAGGTACTAACATATTGCTAGGGTGAGGTGACATGTCGTATGACATTCACCTAAGTGAAATGTTAAGAAATTTTGTTAACTTAAGCCAAAGGCATCCATGGATCATGCATTATCTTTATTATTTTAATTCACTTAATATTAAATCACAAAAGGGCTTGGAATAATTGCCATTGAGCAAGTGTGGCTTTTGGGTTAGAATTTTGCATGGGTACACATACATATAATTAATTAATTATTGCTAAAAAAAATCATTTTTAATATTACATGTTAATGATTAAAAAACGCATTAATTATTGCTAAGCAAATCATATTTAATATTACGTGTTAATGATTAGAAAACATGCGTGGAACCTTTCAAAAATAAAATGCAATACTATCCACATAAATTAAGAAAACATTTTTTTTTGTGAACGTTCATTAATAAGTCCAAATAACCTTATCAAACTGTTTGGCCACGTCGGGATGTAATAATCCATATTAGTTTGATATAATATTTTTATGTTTAACCTAACAAAATTTAAAAAAAACAACTAAAAAAAGAAGCTATGCGGACCGGTTGTTAAATCAAATGTTCTTTTTAAAAAATATAGAGGTGATTTTTATAAATACTATCCTCCGTAGGAGTTTCCATCCCTTTTACTTTCTTGGTGACTCGAATTCGTAACCTTTAAACTGAAAATGAGAGGTACTTACCATCCTAACAACTCTCTCTGTTACATATATATATATATATATATATATATATATATATATAGTAAGTA